CTGTATCATTTGTAGCTAACTATTAAATCTGAAGTAAACATCCTCTGTATCATTTGTAGCTAACTATTTCTTCTGAAGTAAACATCCTCTGTATCATTTGTAGCTAACTATTAAATCTGAAGTAAACATCCTCTGTATCATTTGTAGCTAACTATTTCTTCTGAAGTAAACATCCTCTGTATCATTTGTAGCTAACTATTAAATCTGAAGTAAACATCCTCTGTATCATTTGTAGCTAATTAATACTTCTGAAGTAAACATCCTCTGTATCATTTGTAGCTAAATATTACATCTGAAGTAAACAACCTCTGTATCATTTGTAGCTAACTATTAAATCTGAAGTAAACATCCTCTGTATCATTTGTAGCTAACTATTACTTCTGAGTAAACATCCACTGTATCATTTGTAGCTAATTATTACTTCTGAAGTAAACATCCTCTGTATCATTTGTAGCTGATTATTACTTCTGAGTAAACATCCTCTGTATTATTTGTAGCTAACTATTACTTCTGAAGTAAACATCCTCTGTATCATTTGTAGCTAATTATTACATCTGAAGTAAACATCCACTGTATCATTTGTAGCTAATTATTACTTCTGAAGTAAAGACCCTCTGTACCATTTGTAGCTAACTACTACTTCTGAAGTAAACATCCTCTGTATCATTTGTAGCTAATTATTACTTCTGAAGTAAAGACCCTCTGTACCATTTGTAGCTGACTACTACTTCTGAAGTAAAGACCCTCTGTATTATTTGTAGCTGATTATTACTTCTGAAGTAAACATCCTCTGTATCATTTGTAGCTAACTACTACTTCTGAAGTAAACATCCTCTTTACCATGTGTAGCTAATTATTACTTCTGAAGTAAACATCCTCTGTATCATTTGTAGCTAATTATTACTTCTGAAGTAAACATCGTCTGTATCATTTGTAGCTAACTACTACTTCTGAAGTAAATACCCTGTGTATCATTTGTAGCTAATTATTACATCTGAAGTAAACATCCTCTGTATCATTTGTAGCTGATTACTACTTATGAAATGTCTGTTCACTAAGTTTTTGATCATTGTTGACCTGCAGATTTGTTTCTGTATTGGAAAAGGCATCATAAAGGCTGCTACATATTGTGAAGGAGATTCATCTTTGCCGGACACTGAGTCCCGGTTTCTGGTTTTAGTGTTGAATTCGTGATGTCTTCCCTTTGGTTTCGGTATTTCATCATTTCCTGTTGCAGTTTTGCATTGACCCTGAGTTCAGTCTTTGTATGCTTACGATGTAATTACTTTAATTTAATTTGATTTGAAGTAAATGTTCTCCGCCTGACCTGTTCGATTAAACATTATTTAGAATCCTAGAAATAAAGAGTGTATTACATACGAGCATTCCAACCTGAAAACAATATCAATAAATATTGGAACTACTTTCAATATTGCCTGTACATCGTTTAACGCTCAACCAGACCGATCAACAATATACAAGAAATTAATGTTATTGCTGCACGCATAAACACTCTTTGAAACTGTGTATAGGAAAGATATACATTTAAGCTACTGCTTACATGTGTATCATTTCATCCGCCATAACGTACAGAAAAGGGATTTCAACTATGATAATGATAAAACAAAATATATGAACCTGTTAACTGATCCAATAATAGGAGCCTGCTTGGGAAACAGCAAATGGCATAAATCAGGTAATACTTCTAGCATATGTACTTCGTCATTTAACTTAGAGATAAACAGTTTACCGTCATTTAACTTAGAAATAAATGGTTTACCGTCATTTAACTTAGATATAAATGGTTTACCGTCATTTAACTTAGAGGTAAACTGTCTACCGTCATTTAGTTTTGAGATAAATGATCTACCATCATTTAACTTAGAGATCAATAGTTTGTCGTCATTTAACTCAGAGTTAAATAGTCTACCGTCATTACACTTTGAGATGAATGGTCTACTGTCATTTATCTTAGAGATAAATCGTCTGCCGTCGTTTAACTTTAAAGATTAACGGCCTGCCGTCATTTAATTCAGAAGTATCTTGTCTGTCGTCATTTAATTTAAATATTGGCAGTCTATCGTCATTTAACATGGATATTGATTGTCTGGCGTCATTTAACTCAGAGTTAAATGGTCTACCGTCATTAAACTTTGGGATGAATGGTCTGCCGTCATTTAACTTAGAGATAGACGATTTACTGTCATTTAACTTAGAGATTCATGGTCTACTGTCATTTATTTTAGAGATTAACGGTCTGTCATCATTCAACTTAGAGATAAATGATCTGCCGTCATTTAACTTAGATATAAATGGTCTACCGGCATTTAACTTAGAGATAAAGGGTCTACCGTCATTAAACTTTGGGATGAATGGTCTGCCGTCATTTAACTTAGAGGTAGACGATTTACTGTCATTTAACTTAGAGATTAATGGTCTACTGTCATTTATTTTAGAGATTAACGGTCTGTCATCATTCAACTTAGAGATAAATCGTCTGCCGTCATTTAACTTTAAAGATTAACGGCCTGCCGTCATTTAATTTAGAAGTATCTTGTCTGTCGTCATTTAATTTAGAGATTGGCAGTCTATCGTCATTTAACATGGATATTGATTGTCTGTCGTCATTAAACTAAGAGATAAATGGTCTGCCGTCATTTAACTTAGAGATAGACGATTTGCTGTCATTTAACTTAGCAATAAATTGTTTGTCGTCATTTAACTTAGAGATAAATTGTTTGTCGTCATTTGACTTAAAGATAAATTATTTTTCGTCACTGAACGCAGAAATAAATGGTTAAATTCCCTTAATTTGAATATGAATGGTCTGTCGTCACTTAATTTCGAGATCCGTTCAGAATTCGTTATTCCTTATTGATCATAAATAAATACAGTTCATAGAAACAACATGTACATCAATCTCAGTTACATCAAAGATTCACAGGGTCATTCCATTGATACAACATTTAGTTATCTACTAAATATTTGCATAATGGACAAATTTCACTAAATTGCAAAAATTCGTTCGTTTTTTTTCGATTATATGATTTTACTAATTTAAAGACAGGGGATTTCCTCGCTAATAGGGCTCACTATCTGTGATTTTGATATCGTTATAAGGAGCATTTAAAATGAAATTATATTCGTTTTCGATGTCCCTAAGACACACAGGGCAAGTTCGCAGATGGCGTGCGAAGATTAATGTAATTGAACAAAAGTTTCTTTATTATACATATACGTGTTGTTTGAGTAAACATTTGATAATCATTTTAATCTTCATTTTCCATTTAAATACGCTAGCACTATGTCGTGTTTTGTGTCAGTAATATAAACTCGTTTTCCATGTGTGAAACTTTTACTTATGAAATTGTTGTATATTCTTTTGTTTTATTGTTGTCGGATTAATGGATACGTATATATCTGCTTAGGTTCATTATTGTATAACGAGATAATCCGGTCGTACCTGATCAGATACAGCCTCCGATGTCCAAGAACAATTATAATCGAGGTCAAATTTCTTTTTTTCTTTTACATCATGTTTATTCTTACATTTTCAGTTTCCCTTTTCTTTTCTTTACAGCATATTGCAAGTCAATTTTTAGGCATTTTGCTTTTAGAAAAAAACCTGTTCATTTGTGCCTAACAACATTTATGACATTTCAGCCTTCATCAAATACTGTACATGTATTTAACCTAATTACCTCATTTTGTCTTTGTTTTTAGATGATAAAACAATGTTTGTATATAGCATTTTAATGTTAAGTTTTACAAAAATCAGGTAATAAAGGAATACTGAAATATTCGTTAGCACACCTGTTTAAATATTTTGCTCTAATTAGTTTTAAATGTGTTTTATTGTCTCTTCAAAATATGAGGAAACACTTTTAAATAACAAGAAAATGCCACAACTTAGAATGTACAATATGTGCCATTAATGGTTGATTTTGACTAATATGGCAAATGTGAATTTAGAAAATGTGTTGTGTGAAACATAGGTAATAATAAGGGGAATATTTTAGTGAAATTCAGCTTCTATGAAAAACTAGATAATTAACTTGCCATTGTTTCATAAAACAACGCCTGCCTAGTGTTGTTAAATATGTTGTCACTCAGAGAACACCCCGTATGAACATGCCGTTATGTTATTTGGGCCCTACTCAACTCAAAGACCCATGTACAACGTTCGTGTTTCTTTATAATGTAGGTCACTCCTCGTGCTCCAAACTATTTAAATTTTGTTCATTTATTGAATGAGTGGGGGTCTGAAGTAAGCGCCTAGCCTGATAGAGACTCCCTCAATAGGCAGACTCTTGTCCACCCCCACTTCGTGATCATTATATATCTAATTGATTATAATCTGAGGTATTATTATGGGTATCTGTTTTACTACGGTGTAATATATTGATGTTATGTTATTATTAGAGCCCTTCACTCGTGGCAGTTTGGGACAGGGTCTGTCGAGCTGGTTCTTTGTTTAGGAGCGAGTGCGTTATTTAACGCATTATGGTTTTATCCGAAGGGCACGCGCAGCGGACTCTGCATTAAACTGACATCGGTGCAGGGTTCTGTATGTCCGACATGATGTTTTAACTTCTTAACATCTGCATAAGGATTGATTAATTTTGAAATGTATCGGCTATCATTATTTTTATGATTTTTAGTATCTCATAATTCAACCAGTAATGGCTGGGTATTGATCGCTGTTTACTTTGTATATTTTATGATTGTGATTTGTATTTTACTGTCGATCAATGGGTGACACTTAAATAAACTAGTATTTATCGTATTTATCTTACTGGCTTTAACTAAACGGTGAACGCACACACCAGTCAGCAGTATTATCGAGAAATACTTCCATCTTGTTTATCTGACAAATTTTATCTGTATCTTTATATAGTTAACTTACCTCAGCACTGGCATACATATTCTTCTCCTCTGAATACCTCAGGGAAATTTACCACCGTATATAACATTTCTGACAATGTGCTATTATGTTTTAGTTTCAGATGTGAGACCCCATGCCAGTACTAGCTATTCCGGTAATGGAAATGAATGGGAAATCTAAACATTATCTATCAGAAGATGGTCTTCAAGTCAAATATACGGGGTAAGTACCCAGGTAAAGATCTACCAATAGTCTGTAACACATACCGTCATTGGCGCCCGTCACCAATTGATTTGTCTCGTTCAACCAGACTCTTGTTGTCTGCGCAGGCTATAACAAGTGATCAAGCGTCTGGTTGAACGAGACTACCACTTGAATTGCTTAGTCGAGGTCGTTTGCTAAACCTTTCCCTGCACATAACAAATATTTGCTTCCGAAAATTACAAATACTGTAATGTTGTACCTTAAATGCAAATATTTCCAAAAAAGCTTCGGTATTACGTTGTGATCCGGGTTCTGACCATATATGCTTTGTGGCATATTTTCTATTTAAACAAATACGTTTTTCTTGGTATGCAGAAGAACGGTGTATGACATTACAAGTTCAGAAATTATATTTTTTGTTTTAGTTATGCCTAATATCGTATTGCTTGACATTCTTGCATTCGTATGTTACGAAGTATTGAAGCTGAGTATAGCATCGGAGAAATAATGAATACAGATTGTTTTGGTACACAGGACGACCTCCACTCGTAGACCTACACAAGTAAATCCGCGGTCACATCTTACGGTCACGCACGTAGTTGACCGCAGTGGGGGTTGGCCGTAGTTGACTGTAGTAGACTGTAGGTGACCTTAGTTAAACGAATTAAACGTAGTTAGACGTAGTTTCCTAACCCTAACTCCTAAACTTAACATTACTTAACGATACTTCACCCTAGTTGACCCTAGTTAATCGTACTTAACAGTACTGTACATGTGAACGTACTTCAAACGTAGTCCAACCCTAGAAGCTGTCCCTACATGACCCTATACTACTTGAACGTAGTGTTATCCGTAGTGTCTACGGTCAACTACGGTAAATTATACTAGTAGAGTTCCCACAATGGGGTCCCGTGACCATGTTCCCGGACCAAGGTTTGACAGTTGATTTTAATCAATTGGAGTGTGCTGATTAAAGTGAGCTGGTGTGAACCTCGTGAAAATTTGGGCTAACTCGGTCAGACGCGAAAATTCAAAATGGCCGCCATCCGGCATCTGGTATTTCAAATGAATACATATCTCTGCTTCTATAATTCTGTTTTAAATTATTTCGTAGTCTAAATGTATGTTGTTGGGTCAGGGATTTCGTTTATCAGCAAAATAACTTGCAAAGAGTAAGTGTTCGGTCGAAAAATGGTTTATCATTTGTTTGCAGCCAAAACCAAAATAATCACAAGCTGACTGCATAAGAAAGCAATCAGGAAGACATCTTTAATGGCAATGTTGTAAAGGTTTTATCTTTAACCATTGCACATTAAATAAAACAACCATTGTCTAAACTGTCTAATCAATTATTCTGTATGTTTCGGGCTAGGCGTCCTCACAAAGGCCAAGGTCAAATGAGGACGGGTTCCTATGGAGACACTGTCTGAAACAACAAGTAGATAGAAAAGAAAGTAGACAGATAAAATAGAAAGCATAAAAGATTCCGAGTGTTGTGATGGGCACAGCAGTTCAATATTGGTCTCCTTCATGTCCCCTTCGTAGAAGACACGAACGAAATTCCCCACTGCTGCAGGTAGGGGGGCACACAAGTCGCCTTAACGATACACATGCAGCGGGATACAGCAGAACTATTTTTGATTTCTTCAATGTTTCCTTAATGGAGGACAAGGAAGAAACACTCCCCGGGTCTGCAGGGGAGGCACTTTAGTTGCCTCTTTCGATCATGCAGTGTGATTCGCCAGGTCTATTCTTTCCCGAACCTTCACAGGTTGTCTGGTAAAAAAAAAACAGTAGACCTTCAGTTAATATCTTCCTCAGAGAATCTTCCTCCACAGTCAATATTACTTCCATCATCCTCATCCACAACATTGTGCGGGTATCTACTCATGAGTCATGTTCATCCAAATCATGCTAACTTCTAGGAAGTGTATCCTTGTTAAACATCACATTTGATACACATCTGCCGTGGATCAGGGGGTGCGTTTAGCTCATCATATTTTAGTGAAAGGTAAACTTGGAAGCATCTCTTGTTACTGGAATGCTTTGCCAACATCTTTCAAAAGAATGCGCGTTCCGGACTCTCTGTGTCATACACTATTTTCCCCGTGTCCATAGAAGCCAGATGCTGTATCAGATCCACGATGTACTGGGACTAAGATTTCAGCTACTCCAACAGAGCAAATATCTCCGCAGCTGATGGTTTTAACCTCCCGTTTGATAAAAAGGGCGCCCTCCAGATGATGCACAACATATGCAGAATAAATTATATTTCTGCCTGGTGGAGTACCCAAAATTATTTTCTGTGTGTTTCTCTGCATGCTTGGTTGACTCAGTCATTAAAAACGAGTTCAGGCATTGTTTGTTTTCTTGATTGTTGATCAGGACTTGAAAGTCCTTTTTGTCGGAAAAACTATCTGATGAAGACATTTTTGGACCTGTCTCTATATGCTGTCTTGGTTGTACGTCGCTTATGCACACCATATTCATGGAAGTTTCTACCACATACATGTAGCTATCATTTACAAACATAAACTGGAATGCATTTGGGAGCCTACTTTGAATAATGGAGAAAAAGCTTTTCTGCATAACTGCGTGAGGGCAAACCCATCAGGTTTCTCACAATATTCAGCAGCTTGGGTCATTTATCGCCTAAGAAACTCATACTGATTTGCCCTAATGTGGTGCTATTATGCAGACAAATCATTTCTCCATTTTTTTGCAGTAGGCATCCAAATGATTGCTATAATGTCGACTTTCTATCGAAGACCTTGATCAGCCAAGACAACATATAAAGACGGGTCCAGAAAAGTGTACATTGAAACATCAGACAGGTTTCCTCGATAGGTTATAGGTTATCGGAGAAACAAAGAAAGACTGAACAAGTTTCTAAAGGATGAGTCTTCCAAGGTTGCAAAGCATCACGCAAACAATGACTCTATTATGTACTCCATCGGGCTAAGCTGTTGGAATATTTTCTCTGATGGAAAGTATGGAAGAACTCAAATGCAGCTGCATAGAGGCAGATCCGATAAACATGAAAATTGGAGACAGCGCAGACAGCCGTGACTAATGCCAAGTTCACAGATAAAGTAATTCATTCAGCATTTCCCCGGCAGGTTGAGGATCGCGAAAAGAATACTCCTGCTGTTTCATAAGAGGCGACTAATGTGGAACCCTCTGCAGAATTGGGAATTTGTTTTTGTGACCTTTACTTTGGGACACAAATGCGACATAAATCTGCTGCACACATTGCAAAATTTGGAATCTCTATATTTCTTTCTACTTCTCACTATATTTTATTTCCTAGCGCCTTACTTGGCAACCTCTGCCTCCTGCACGCACACAAAAGCAAGTAGTCCAGTGCGCATGTACAACACACATGGATGCACGTCCTTTGACCTTAGCTGTTGATAGGCCTTTAAACAAATATAACCAAACCAATCTTTCAGCAGATGTTGTTATCGAACAGAAGGACAAAATCATCAGCTGCATGATGAAGCTGAATTCTGAATCCGATAACAACTCTAAAGTGGATCTGATACAATATCAAGCTTCAGATTGTCCGCCAAGCATACCCAGTGACGCAAGACGTGCTTTAGAAAATCGGTGAAACTTCAGGAGAGGCTAGAGCACTGAAGTGGGTATCCTATCCCACTGCATGTGTATCGTAGAAGGCGACTGGCCCAGCATAAATGGAATACCGTGTCTTCTACGAAGAGGACGTCTTAGACCATTCCAAACAATGGCTGTTTTATTTAATTTACAATGGTTATAAAACCTTTACAACTTAACCATTAAGGATATTTTCCTGGTCTTTTCCTTTGCAGTCAGCTTGTAATTATCTTGGTTTTGGCTGCAAACAAATAATAAATCATTTTTCGACCGAACAGTTAAATTTCTTTTGCTGATAAATGAAATCCCTGACCCTTACAGCATATATTTAGACTCCGAAATCGTTTAAGATAGACATATAGAAGCAAAGATATGTATTCATTTGAAATATCAGATGCTGTATGGCGGCCATTTTGAATTTCGCGTCTAACCGAATTAGCCCAAATTTTCACGAGGTTCACCCCAGCTCATTTTAATAAGCACACTCCAACTGACCAAAGTCAACTTTCAAACCTTAGTCCGGGAAAAGTGGTCACGGGCCCCATTGTGGGAACTCTACAATACGGTCAAGTAGGGTCAATTACGGTCAACTTAGGTCAACTACGTTCAAACTACGGTCACAGTAGGGTATTGGCATCCGAACTCACCGTAGAGATATTTTGAACATGAATCAAATATTTGGGCTAACCAAGGCCAAATGATGGGTTTCTCTTAGTTCAAACAACGTTTATAAATACGTCTAACTACGTGTATTACGTTTGACTAAGGTCACCTACTGTCTACTACAGTCAACTACGGTCATCCCCTGCTACAATCAACTACGTTTACATGCGTGACCGTAAGATTTGACTGCAGATTAAAATGAACCTACATCGTGGTGTGTCTAATACCCTGATTGTATATCTATAATATATACAACAGCAGGACTTCTTTTAATGATACGGCCGGCAGCAAGGTTTCTTTTACTTCTATTCAAATTTGATGTTTTTTGTTCTGTTCTAGTTAACTTAATTTTAGTTCTATTTTCTACCAGTCCAGCAGACATGGTCCAGAGGAGACAGCGTGGCTGGATAGGAGAGAGGACGTACTTGGAGGTGGCTCTACTCGTTAGCTGTGGAGTGTTACTCTGTATCACCGTCATTCTCATAATCAACGAGGCTGTACGGCATGACGACCAGCTGAACGGTATGTACACCTCTGTGCGGACCTGTACAACGGTTAGTACACCAATGTACTGACCTGTACAATGGTTAATACACTTATGTACGGACATGTACAACGGTTAGTACATCTATGTACGGACCTGTACAACGGTTAATACCCTTATGTACGGACCTGTACAACGGTTATTACACCAATGTACTGACCTGAACAATGGTTAATACACTTATGTATTGACCTGTACAATGGTTAGTACATCTCTGTACGGACCTGTACAATAGTTAGTACATCTCTGTACGGACCTGTACAACTGTTAGTACACTTATGTACGGACCTGTACAACGGTTAGTACACCACTGTACAGACATGTACAACGGTTAGTACACCACTGTACGGACCTGTACAATGGTTAGTACATCTCTGTACGGACCTGTACAACTGTTAGTACACTTATGTACGGTCCTGTACAACGGTTAGTACACCACTGTACAGACCTGTACAGCGGTTAGTACACCACTGTACGGACGTGGACAATGGTTAGTACATCTCTGTACGGACCTGCACAATGGTTAGTACATCTTTGTACGGACCTGTACAATAGTTAGTACACCACTGTACAGACCTGTACAAGGGTTAGTACACCTACGTACGTTCCTGTACAACGGTTAGTACATCTCTCTACAGGCCTGTACAATGGTTAGTACACCTTCTACGTTCCTGTACAACGGTAAGTACATCTATTTACGGACCTGTACAATGGTTAGTACATCTTTGTACGGACCTGTACAATAGTTAGTACATCTCTGTACGGACCTGTACAATGGTTAGTACATCTTTGTACGGACCTGTACAATGGTTAGTACACCACTGTACAGACCTGTACAATGGTTAGTACACCTACGTACGTTCCTGTACAACGGTTAGTACATCTCTCTACAGGCCTGTACAATGGTTAGTACACCTGCTACGTTCCTGTACAACGGTAAGTACATCTATGTACGGACCTGTACAATGGTTAGTACATCTCTGTACGAACCTGTACAATGGTTAGTACACCACTGTACAGACCTGTACAACGGTTAGTACATCTCTCTACAGGTCTGTACAATGGTTAGTACACCTACTACGTTCCTGTACAACGGTAAGTACATCTATGCACGGACCTGTACAACGGTAAGTACATCTATGTACGGACCTGTACAACGGTTAGTACATCTCTCTACAGGTCTGTACAACGATAAGTACACCTCTGTACGGACCTGTACAATGGTAAGTACACCTCTGTACTGGCCTGTACCCCTGGACAATATATCCTCTTTAGAAATACAAAGGTTTGGATGTTTTGTGCCGATTGGAGGGGGTTAGAGCATATTTAGCATTGTTTCAAGAGAACGAAATGTAAAGGAAATGTACATGGAATGTGTTCATGGGAGATAATCAGAGAAAAGCAGTGTTTAGGAGAACTGTTATTTGAGTAGTAGGGTTGGTCTTTCGCTTTACTTTTGTATATTTATATTATTGTATCATGCCACCTCTCTGTTTTATAGGTGGCGCCTCAAAGCTTGCTGCCACTAGTACAGTGTGTTTGTCACAGGACTGCGTCAGAGCAGGTATAGAAAGGATTACAATTCACCAGATATTGAAAACAGAACTGAAAGTAAATGGCACTTATGCTGATTTCGCTGTTGAAATGATATAAATGATATAGGCTGTTTCTCATGTTGATATCATCACTATTATCAGAATCAGGAATGATAATATCCAATTTGACCATCATTTCTTTCTGAAACATTGCAGGATGACGTCACAATTAATATTTATTAAATGGCGCAGACACGTATAATCCAAAGGATAGATACATACTTATAATGCCGTGTGTATCACGTGTTTATATTTGAGACATCATCAGTGCTATAAAAATATGAAAAACTGATATTTTTGCTATTGAACATGTGTTGCTCTTTGTGACGTCAAAATACAAAAGTGACGTGTGATTGTGACGTCCAATCAGATGTCCTGCCAAAGCGTACCTTCTGGCGGATCACTGATAGACTCCGGATATAAGTTCAGTGATTTCCTACCGTGCAAATGTTTATCTTGTTTTTGTTACGTACATATCATTAGACATCAGCTATATACTCTAACCTATTGTCTAACTATTGTTACAGCGGCCAGGCTACTACAGGGTATGAACCAGGAGGTCGACCCGTGCGATAACTTTTTTGAGTTCGCGTGCGGGTCTTGGAATAAAGTCAATGTTATTCCTGATGACAGACCAAGTTACAACACATTTGCTAAACTAAGAGACGATCTCCATGTAACCCTCAAAGGTACGTATATCTCCATGTAACCCTCAAAGGTACGTATATCTCCATGTAACCCTCAAAGGTGCGTAATACTTCATGTAACCCTCAAAGGTGCGTATATTTCCATGTTACCCTCAAAGGTGCGTAATATTCCATGTAACCCTCAAAGATACGTATATCTCCATGTAACCCTCAAAGGTACGTATATCTCCAAGTTACCCTCAAAGGTGTGTAATACTCCACGTAACCCTCAAAGGTGCGTATATCTCAAAGTAACCCTCAAAGGTGCATTATACTCCATGTAACCCTCAAAGGTACGTACATCTCCACGTATCCCTCAAAGATACGTACATCTCCATGTAACCCTCAAAGGTGCGTAATACTCCATGTAACCCTCAAAGATACGTACATCTCCATGTAACCCTTAAAGATACGTACATCTCCATGTAACCCTCAAAGGTACGTATATCTCCATGTAACCCTCAAAGGTACGTATATCTCCATGTAACCCTCAAAGGTACGTATATCTCAAAGTAACCCTCAAAGGTACGTACATCTCCTACAAATGTACGTGCATTCTTACGTAACTCTCAAAAGTATGTACATCCCCACATCACACCAAAGTTCAGAATGTATAACTTCGACACTCTACTTTCTTTACTTTGGCGGATTGGTCGAGTGGTTAACATCCCAAAGTCGCCGTACGCATGGAATATTCAGAGAAAGTGTTTTTCTCCTGCCCACACAACTCCAACATCCCAGGTGGAGTATACAATGGTCTGGGGTGGATGTTGCGGTATCTGTGTTGTAGCATTCAAGTGAGGTGGCACTATAAATGATACTGTCGGAAGAACGGTCCCACTACAAACAGAACGTCATACAGCTTCAACATACACGCAGGCATCCACACATAGGGAGATATTAGCTAGGTGGTATAGGACTAGTAGTTAGCGCCTGATAAGGCAGCTCCTGCGAATTCCTCAATATTGTATTGATTAATGTATATGCTTATTGTATTGATTGTATAAGATTGTATATATATGTACTGTAAAGCGCTCTAGAGTCGCTTATGTTAGCTAGATAGGGCGCTATATCATATGTTGTATATTTATATTTATTTTACTTCATCTCTCAACTTGATGATAAGATTTTGGAATATTGGGACAATCACTGCAGAGCCAATAATCCATATTTGTATTGTGTAGCGCTGAGATAAAACCTAATGATATCTATATAGTTTCATAATTGTGTAGTATAAACATGCTTGTTCAATTTAATAATATAAGCTTTAAAGTGCTCGAGCATCCGTATAATGACAATGAGACAGTATATACACTGCCCTCCAAAAGTTCGGTTACATATTTTAAATTTAGCTGATAAATTATTTTTGACAAAACTATTGGAATAGTTAATTGATTATCCAAATTGAATCACAAAAAGGGTTTTGTCAAACAATTCTGATATTTCACATTTTACATAAATCTATCTGATGTTTGAGAGTTGTTAGATTTACGTAAATGTACTCGGTATTAATTTTAACTTTATTGAAAATGACAAAATACATCACTATTCACCATTCATTGATTATTTGTTATCTCTTAAGTATATTTGTACTTTTCAATCACTTTGCAAATACTCATGAGAAGCGAATGACAAGAGAAGAACGATTCCAGCGTGTTTTTTTTACCATCGCAATGGTGTTGCTGCCGGCCAAACTGAAAGAATTATTGGAACCAACAGGTAAGTGACTGTTTTCATCGCGGATTTTAGTGCATTTGCATACGTTTCTTATCAAGAACCTGTCTTTAGTTGTTTTAATGTTTCACTTTTTTTGCAGACATAACGTGAACAGGGCCATTAAACGGTTCCAAGATACCGGGAACTATGAGGATCGAAAACGTTCTGGCCGGCCACGGATTTCTACCCCTCGGGATGATAGATTATTAGTCCGGACCAGCCTCAGAAATCGCAAGGACACCGTTCCTGAGCTTCGAACGGAGTGGATCCAAAATGGTGTGGTAGCGTCGAATACCACAGTGAGGAGACGATTACACAATGCGGGATTGAAATGTTGTGTTGCTGTCAAACAAACACCTTTGACTGCTACCCATCACCGGAAAAGATTAACATTTGCACAGAACCATGCAAATTTGACCGTGGTGGACTGGTCGACTGTTTTATGGACTGACGAGTCCAGGTTCACCATTTTCCAAACAGATGGCAAGACGTATGTGAGAAGAAGGGCAAATGAACAATTGCGACAAGACTGTGTAGTGCCTACAGTTAAGTTTGGTGGTGGCGGTGTGACAGTTTGGGATACAATGTCCTACCGAGGGACTGGATACCTCACTCCTTTGAAAGGAAATCTGAACGGAACCAAATACATTGACATTTTAGAAAACAGCGCGGTACCATCAGCACATCTGCTAGGCTATAGAAACAACGATTTCTTCCAGGATGACGGTGCCCCATGCCACCGGGCACGAATAGTGAACGAATGGAAGGAGGACAACAATATTCTGTCTTTGGAGTGGCCCCCACAGTCCCCCGACTTGAACGCGAAAGAAAACTTGTGGAGAGATCTGGGTTTTGAAGTTCGCCGACACAAGAGCAGAAACCTAAGGGAACTTGAAGCTGCCTTACCGCTTGCATGGGATGGAATACCTGCTAGGATATGTAGAACTTTGGTTAAGAGTATGCCTGACCGTATTCAGGCTGTGATTAGAGCTCGTGGAGGATACACTAAATATTAATGGAATTACAATGTTTTTGACAATTTACATTATAGCTGATTTTTGTAACATTATGTTAACTTAACATAATAAAATCAACAGAAATAATTGTCCAATAACTTCGTTAATAGTATATACAAATGATAATAAAAACAAGATTAACATAATTCTGTACTTGTAACAGAACCTTTGGAGGGCAGTGTATATATATTCCCTATTAGATCCCTACATACGTAATGATTTGAAAGTTTCCGTCACATTTTGCTTTTCTTGGTGTCAGCTGACTGAACGTAATCACGTATAAAATAAGATAAAATCCTCATTTAAAGAAAAAAAAATCAAACAATAAAAATTTGTTGGTTTTTAAAGATATCGTATTTAGAGGAACTCGTTCCAGCCTTCATCAAACAGTGACTGAGGAGTGTTTGAGCACAAAACATCTCCTATTTAAATTTGTCGGGTATTTATTGATTTATTGGTTAGGCGTGTACCAGCTAGATCTGTCTTCTATCATATAGAATCATGAGATCTTAAGATAATAACATTTTTATACCATTCTGATGTGATATGAGATTATTTTCGGAGGAAAGTCTAGGTTCGTTATCAATTTGATAGCGTACTCTGAAATCCTATTCACATTCCATACCCAATCTTATGATAGCATCTGAAAGTGCAGTCAATTTCCAGTGCTGTTACGCGGTTATATAGAACGATGGTGTTATTTGTAGATTTACTGGAGTCGCCAGTTACATCTGGTGAATGTGAAGCTTCGAGGAAAGCCAAACATCTGTACCATTCCTGTATTAATGAAAGTAAGTAGTCCCAATGAATTATTTCATTATAACGTCATTAAATATCGTGTTCAATTTGATATAATAAAAATAAGTCTATTATTGTCACTTATGATTACAATTAAAACGATCATTTACATATGTAAAAATAGCCTTTAAGGTTGATCCAGTAATAATCCACTTGTCCCTCAGCTGTTTGTGATGTGACGATTATTGTCGAGTGTTATTGATAGTTGATGGTCACGTGATGGTCATGTGACCACTTCAACTTGTTCCTAAAGTGAGAATCCTGTGTGACATTGTGACAAAGGACATACTACAGAACAAGCGAATGGAATCATGAAAGTGACGTTACTTACAAGTTCTGCTCTTTCATTTAATTTCATGAAAGTGACGTCACTTACAAATTCTACTCTATCATGAAAGTGAAGTCTCTTACCAATTCTGCTCTTTCGTTTAATTTCATGAAAATACCCTAACCTACAAATTTTGCTCTTTCATTTAATTTCATGAAAGTGACGTCACTAACAAATTCTACTCTATCATGAAAGTGACGTCTCTTACAATTTCTACTCTATCATCAAAATGACGTCTCTTACAAATTCTACTCTATCATCAAAATGACGTCACTTACAAATTCTACTCTATCATGAAAATGATGTCACTTACAAATTCTACTCTATTATGAAAATGATGTCACTTACAAATTCTACTCTATTATGAAAATGATGTCACTTACAAATTCTACTCTATCATGAAAATGATGTCACTTACAATCAATATTGCTGAATTGATTTTTTTTAAATCCCTTATAGCTTTAATTGAGGAGCGAGGCATTGAACCTGCTATACACCTGATTGAGGAGCTTGGTGGTTGGCCTGTAACGTTTGTTAACGGAACGTGGCCAGAGGAAACGTTCGACCTGACAGGCCTGCTCATCAAACTACGTCTGTACAATAATAAAATACTGGTGGATCAGTGGGTCAGCGCCGACGATAAAAATTCAGACGTTCACATAATACAGGTATGATATCCACATAACACAGGTGGTATTTTTACATAACACAGGTGTGGTGTCCACATAACACAAATATAATATCCACATAACATAGGTATAATGTCCTCATAACACAAGTGTTTAGTCCACATAACACAGGTATGATGTCCACATAACACAGTTATAATGTCCACATGTGTGAGTAAGGGCGATTGTGTATGGATGGCGGATGTAGAGTAGAAAGATGATGTGTTTATGTAAAAATACACAAGTGTTAATGTTGTGATGCAACTGAAAAGATGCATGTACTAATAATATATGAAATCATTTCATCATACATGAATGAATGGAGGATGATGATGTTGATGATGAATGATGATTGATGATGATGATTGATGATGATGAGGATGATGGAGGTAATAACATCACAAATATGTGAGATGATGATGATGAGGATGATGGAGGTAATGGCATCACAATGTATGTGAGATGATGATGATGATGATGTTGACATATAGCACAGATATGATGTACGTTAGGGTAGTTAGGAGATATCCATATAATCTTACATGTTACCCTGTAAGTCAGGACCTCCGTTCAATAAACGTCTACACCCAGTGTACCTGGTAAACTGTACAGTGTTACCCTGTCTGCCCTCCAGTTTGATCAGCCCGACCTTGGAATGCCCTCCAGGGACTATTACACCAAAGGTCGCCACGACCCAGACGTCGTAGTTTATGAGGAGTTTGCAGTTGCTGTTGCTATGGTTTTTGGCGCCAATAAAACGGTTGCTGAAGATGACATTCGGGAAATGGTGGATCTTGAAATACGGCTTGCAAACGTATGCATAAAATTCATTAGACTGTTTATTGTAGTTCCGTCTCCACAACTGCTGTTTATTGTAATTCCACAAGATTTATTTTTTTTAATTTTGAATTAAACAGCTAGGTGTGCATATTAGAGTCATGAACAAAATAACGTGCTTGTCTGAGTTGAAAACAGCGGATTACACTAATTTGAGTATACAACAGTTGGCTATGTTCATCTTAATAGTAATCAGTATAGTATGCTTATTTAAGTTCTGAGCAGTGAATACTATTGTCCTATTAATTGCATATTTCAAATCTTTGCATTATCTCTCACTCAAGTAACTGAATGTAAAATCTTTATTGCGTATTTTATAATTGTCTTACGGTAGTAATACATTATATAGAATATCACATAACTATATAAACCAATGGTAAGAAAGGCATGACTTTATCACAGATAACGGTACCCCAGGTAGATCGGCGAGACAACGAGAAACTATACAACAGGATGACGGTCAGAGAACTTCAGCAAATAGTTCCAGGGGTGAGTTGTCGTTTTTTATTGAAATAAATTGAATAGATAACAAAGAATATACGTGCACGTGTTGACTGTATATTACAAGTTCCTCTTTTTAAAGTCAGTGAGTATGTGATGATTGTCCCAAAGAAACCTGTCCTATTGTGATAATTGTTCAAAGTTGAAATGCTTCTATTTCCTTGTTTGATGTAATGGACATGGTATTGTATGCTTGTTTTCGGTGAAAATGCTGCTGTATACATTAATTGCCCTTATGGAAGGGAAACATGCGAAGAGGATAAAGCCAGGGGAACCTGATTTAAATAACTGTGTTCCCTACCGCAACGGTAATAAACATTCTACTATGCCGAATAGAAACAATAACACAACAGTGAAGATGATTGAGTACGTTGTCTTATCAGACACATTGCGTGTACATGAAGTATAATAATGTGATTTGTTGTCACATATTCTTTGATGAACATGCTACTTTGATGATCGTTCCCTGTAAACGTACCTATGTATGATTTTACTCTCTGTGAACATGCTGTTGTGTGATTTGTTCCTAAGAACATTTATTGTGTTTTATCCCTTGTGAACAGTGAAAGTCTTAAGTGTGTTTGACCGTTAATGTTCTTGTAGTTAAAGACTGTCTTTAAAACAGAATACAATAAATCAGTCACATACCCGATCCTGTCTTAATGCATATACCTGATGTCCATATTATTGTATTTTGTTTTGTGTTTTGTTCAAATCAATTTGTTGCTCTTGACATCGTACTTGCCAACTTTAAACATTGACGTCACAGCACTCTCTCCCAGACAAAACCGTTTTATGCCCCGGTCACACATTCACGGATCGCGAATCGGTAGCCGGATTAGCCACGGATCTGTAGTGGTTCGTAGCTGTCCGTATTGTCCGTAGTCAAACCGTGGTGCTTCCGTAGCGGACCACGAATATAGACTATTCCAGGGTCATCCGTGAGTTTCCATCCGTAGTGGATCCGGCGAGACGATCTGTGAATGTTTGACCGGGGCCTTACAGAGGAGAGTTTTACCGGAGGACATTTGACCCCTTACCAGTTCTGAGAGATGTATGACGCCCACACCAGATACATATACCACTAACTACAGTGTATCAGTTGTTTTTCTATCTCACAGTTTGCTTGGATGCGCTACCTGAGAGCTATATTTGACGAGGTTAACATTACGATAACGGAACTGGAGGAGGTGGTGGTGTACGCTCCGGAATACCTCCGACAAATGGTGGAAATCATCAACGAAACACCCGGCAGGTACGCTCTCTAACATCGGGAGGTAGATAAGTTGGCATTGATGATATTTATAGTTTGTTTGTTATTTTGTTTACCTCAATTTGCCTTGTGTGTTCNGGGGGGGAGGGGGATGTGTACCCTGAAATCAAATCGAGGAAATATTAACAACAATTATATTATATTATTTTGACTGAAGTTCTTATCTCGTCTTCAAACTCATGGGGAAACTTTTGTCAAAAGGAAAAAAAAAGGTTTAACGAAAATTTATTAAATTACTATTGATATTTCTAGCTTGATGCTATTTAATATGAATATAGCATAAGATGTTAAATAACAAACAGTAACAAAACTGATCTTCATTAATGAGATCATAGATATGACGACACAATGCATTGATGACAATGATCATATGATGACGGTATGACGACACAATACATTAATGACAATGATCGTACTGACGGTATGACGACACAATTCATTAATGACAATGATCGTACTGACGGTATGACGACACAATCCATTAATGGCAATGATCGTACTGACGGTGTGACGACACAATACATTAAATGAACTGATCGTACTGACGATATGACGACCCAATACATTAATGGCAATGATCGTACTGACGGTATGACGACACAATACATCAATGACAATTATCGTACTGACGGTATGACGACACAATACATTAATAACAATGATCGTGCTGACGGTATGACGACACAATACATTAATGACAATGATCGTACTGACGGTATGACGACACAATACATT